GAGAAGAACCCGTCCAGAAGACCTACACAATTTTTTTTCTTTTTGATTTTTTACCTGGATTACTGAGATGCATCAGGTCATTAATAGATTTTTGTTTATATTTATTTTTTTAGATACTGCAGTAAAGCCACATTTCCCTCTCTCTTCATAAGATCACTCACAACTTTTGTGTCCTTTAACGTCTCGTGCTCAAAAGCTTTACAAAGAGTATGATGTAAAACACTAGTAAAGGGAACTTAAATTAACCTCGACAAAATGAAATCACATAAAATAAAATACATCAAACAGCACAACGAAAGTCAGGATATCCTGCTTAACAAGAGATAAAAGCCACTGAGTATAAACGTGCCTTTAGAATAAAATAAAACAGTAACTATTTTCTTTTATTTGTTTTCTGGCAAACACTTAGCATTTATGTGTCTAACTGATAAGAACTGTGAAGAAAATATATGATATCATAGCTTAGCACACACGCAGTCACAAAAATCAAAACTGTTTTTTTAGTGTCACTTCAGTAGAAAACGAAACCAAATATTATTAGTTTATTTAGTTCTTCATCATCACTGACTTATTTTTTAAGTGAAGAGAAAATAGAGAAAAACTGTTTTGTTAATAGATGTGGCTACTTCAGGTCACGCCCAGTTACATTTAGGGAATTTTGGGTGTTTTTATTTGTTTTTTTTAAAGATCTCATGGGGCAATTTTGCTGAAAAACCACAGAATTGAAGAGAATAAATAAATCCGAACCTCCTGTCCACAGAGACTTGATTATTCACAACCTTTTATCAGCAGTAAGTTGGACTTTTAATTTAAGTTTGTTTACTTCTGAATTTTTGCGTTTCCTTTTCATGACAGGATGGTCAGTCCCTGTATCCAGTGTGTCCTTATCGCTACTCGCTGGCTGCAGAGCTTCTGGAGCGTCGTGCTGCAAACCTTTGTGRCTCCTCTGTTCACGAGTGCTGGGAAATGTTACAGAGGCTTCAGCATTCACTTGGCCAAAGAATGACATGTTTACACAGGAATCAACTGCATTTCCTCAGGACGTGGACACAAACACGCTTCTGCTCACTGAGCAAAGCCAAGATTTGATTTTTGATTCTTTAGTATTTAAATCAAAACAAAATCTTTTTTTTTCATGAGTGAAGCCACTTTCATTAACATTTAACGGAGAAAGCTGCTTGTCCTCTTGAATGTTTATATAATTTACTCTGATGCAATATTTAACATTACACAGTCTGAAATCTCTTTGATGTTTTTATTAAAAATACAGTCCTTTTTTAACTTGGACTTGGATCTTATTGTAATGTCAGCACTCAAGCCATTTCATCAGTATAATTTAGTATTACTCATCGAATCTTTCAAAAATACTTGGTTTTACTTTGTATTCTTGTACTATCAATAATGCTTAAACATGAAATTACCCAACCCAAAAATGGTTTGATTAGCAAAAGATTCTTAATTTGTGAAGATGTCCTGTGCAGCACATGCAATRCTACTTTCGTTTTAATGTCAGAGTTTTAAATTGCAGTAAATACTTCAGTACTGTGAAGAAGGAAAACATCAACAAATTGTGATAATGATACAAAAATTTGGTTGAGTGGATTAATAATTAATATTATCGTTAAAAATAAAATATTTCAATTACATGCAATATATTATTCAGTAGTAAAATTATTTATTTAAAGTAAATAAAAAAATCTTCTGAATTACTTTAATTTCCTGTGCATTTAGCTATCCATTCAGTGTTTAAATGTTTTTGCTACTGTTGTGGTTTTATTGCTGCCAACTTAACTTATTCAACTTTTTGTAACTAACGGAGGTGTATAGTAACAAAGTACATTTACTTCTTTATAGTATTTAAGTACCTTATATGATGATCTGTTTTTTTCACTTGTAACTTTTACATTTCTTTTAGTCACATTCAAAACTTCAAAAATTATACTTTTGATTATTTGCATTAAAATTTAACACATTGTTACACACTCCAAATTTAAATATGACTAAATTCATAAAAGGAGTTTATTATGCACTCTAAAAAATTTAAGCGTTACATGTAGTTATGTCAATTGGTTCCACTAAACCAAGTTGAATTTACGAGCAATTTTTTTGGCAATTTTCACGTTTTCTTTAAAACAATRTGGCTAAATTGCTCAATTTGCTGAACTCAGTTTTGTGGAACCAGTTGATATWACYTGAGTAAATTCAACAYTTCATTTCTTCGAATGTGTGCAAAAGTACATTTACTTTATCAATTATTCTAAGCAGTTTTCTGACTTTTACTTACGTGCTTTTATTATGAGTGAAATTCATTTTATCAAAGTAATTTTCTTTTAAAGTATTTTTACTTTTACTTATATCAAGTACTTTATACGCCTCTGGTAAATGTATTTTATTGCTACATAAAGGGGAAAACAAATTGGACATAAGCACATTCTGTATCTCAGTCGTAATGTTTTGTGAATATTTCACAAATCACACTATTTATTTTGTGTCAACAAAAGTAGCTGTTCAAATGGTGTATCACCACACTTTGATAAAGAAGGCTGACGGTTTTGTCAACTTTATAAACTTCCCAAAGAGATCACATAACACATTTTTTGCATTTTCACAGGTCCTACCAGTGCATTAAGAGAACAAGACTAAACAGACAAAACAAAAACACAATATAAGTACTGTGTGTGTGTATTTATGCAAGATAATAAATCATTACATTTCTGTGAGTTATAAAAGTTTGAGACAAACTTTCAGTGCAATGTGACCCACCAGACACACTAATGTGCATCTGATGTGTGAATATGTGCATCCAATGAGTTCCAGTTTAACTCGTGCACGGTGAAACTGAACAGTCAACATCCAACAAAGTAAACGTAAGAGCTGATAAAATAATAATGATGATGAAACACATAAAGGCGAGGCTGTTGGAACTAGGGGTGCTGAGGATCCTACAGCCACCTCTTGTGGATAACAAGGAATATAATAATACAGTAAAAAAAAAAAAGAAAACCACATATCAACCAGTGTTATGTAAGTTTATAATCCAATGTTTTTAAGTAATGACGTTTTAATGAGGGGAAATTAAGTTCTTGTTAAGTTGCATCCATGTTTGRCTCTCTTTATAGTTTTCACAGTTCCCATAAGACACATTCTCAAGGCTATGTGGGAAAAAGTTAATTAAACATGGCAGAGAACAGTGTTTAATCTGTTTCACAACATACAACCTTGTAAAATGCACTCAGATGTTTTTAAAAGGTTGTAACGTGCATCTGAYATGCTTTCATCAAAATGACACAAATATAAAGTGCCAATTGTTTCACAGGTTTTAGGGACAGAGCAAGCATCTCACGTCCACTCAATGTCTTTTTTTGGCAGATGCAAATTTTACGCAATTAACTYATAACCCTTGAAATGTGCCATTCTTGTGTGACAAAGCATACCGTACCAAGTCCAAGAGCTCACAGTAATGCAAAACAAACAGGAAGTTTTATTAGAAAAGAGTTAAATTTCTGTTGTCTGAACTGATCCCTCTTCAAAACACAATCTATTTATTAAATGACTGGCTGAGACATTGCAGTCAGCTGTTACATTTTCTTCTAGTTTAATTTATGTGACCCTGTGATGGACTTGTGTGCCCCCCACCCCTGGCACATATGGGCACCAGTGACCCTGAAGAAGTGGATAAAAGATAATGGATATTTTAAATATTATTATTAATTTAGTTTTTGCCATATAAAGCAGCCTGGCCCTTGCCTTCCTACGCAGCTCTGCTCAGTTCTAGTTTCCCTTCTCTGCTCTGTCTGGGGTTTCTCCCATTGAGATGGATTTYGCTGGCAGATTTTTAGCCGGGCCAATCAGAGAAGAGAAGGAGGAGCTTTGAACGACGTTGACTTTCTGCACAATGTCTGCTAGTTAGTTTAGCATACGGCAGTGGAGGAAGTGAATGAAGCCAGCCCGTGTTGATAAGGCTTCCAAATTAAAATAAATTTGTCTGACAAAGCAGCAGCTCTCATTTACAGTCGTCTCATTCGGCTCAGTACTTCTCTCCTCTCAGTACAGTTGTTTACAGCACACGCGATTTCCGGTTAGCTTCTTAGCTTAGCCTCTGTCACAGCGACATAAGTCGCAGCCAACTGATCCAATCATTTTAAACTTCAACAGAGACCACGCMTCCTGCAAGAAATCGATTCTCTATGCATCAAGTCCAGATCCTTGAACGAAGCAAAGTGAAGGACAGGGTCTGGTTTAAACCAGGCTACATATAAAGTGCTGTGCAAAAGATTTTTTAAATGGCTGAAAAAGCAGCCAAAGAACTTTCTGAAAGCCAAAAGAAATAAAACTACTTAAAAAATCCAAAAAAGGAACGCTTGTTAGGAGAAAAGATTTAAAAGATGAGGGACAGCTCAGGACTTTTGCACCGTACTTTCCTGTGAACCCTTCAYTGTCAGTTCAGTCATGATTTTACTCTGAAGCCATACTTTTGACTTGCTCATTGAATAACTTATTTGGAGGACCCAAACAAAAAGTCAWTTTTTATAGTTTGAGTTGGTCGTGACTACAGACACTCAATAAGACCCATGTCTGTAATCTGTGTATGTTTATCTGTTAACAAAATATATTAACAACCAGTGAGCAGATTTGACACTCTTTCAGTGTAATCATTGGAGTTACATCTACAACTTGATTCAAAATTGCTGCTGCCATTGTTCAACTTTTTCAAATGCACAGCTAGGCCAGTTTTACAGCAAATAGGCTAAAATCTGGCGTGGTCATGGCTCAGAGTCATTCCCAACAATTTTATAAGTGACAACACATCGCATGAGAYATTTACTTAAAACTTTGCCATGAAAGATGTCAGGAGATGTACATCCCTTTAAATCTCTTTCCACATTACGTTCCCTTTAAGGATTGAGTGGGAGCTCAGGAGAGAACATTCCCTTTATCTATATTCTGAGCCAACTAAAGAACAGAACCATGTTGAAAAACCYTGACAGTTGTTTACATTTAAAGATAAAGGAAGAATCGTTTAATGCTGAACATTCAGTATATATAATATTTTAGCTTACACGAAGACATGGACACAATCAAGCTTCAACTTATATTTAACAGTAATTCCTCCATCTTTCTCTCTGAGAACAGGAGTTTATTCAGAGCTGCAAAGATGAAACTTTTACTGAAGGAAGATTTAGTCCATGCTGTGGTCTGGTTGGAGCTGACAGCTGCAGTGATAGAAGTTGATAGAAGTTGATAATCCTTTTTGTTAACTGTCACAAGTCCCGTGAAACTCAAATTAACACGGTATATAATGTACCTGTGCTTCAAACTTCCCTTTCCACCCTGCTGTGCCCTCATTTTGAGCACAAAAGCGCTTTGTCTTACTTTCTGTTATCACAGGGCTTTCCTTTTTTTGCTGGACAGCAGGTTTATATTTTCTGTTTGGCCTAATTTAAGGTATGTGACAACACGCATTGTGCTGCGGCAGGCGCAGCTCTGCTGGAGTTGATTAAATGCCTGAAGTATGAGCGTTCGCATGGTTTCTGGATAAGTCAACAACAGGAAGCTTAGAAGGCTCAGTGCGCCGGCCCCCCTGTGCTGGACGTGTGCGATAGGCTCCTCTGGCTGCCGGCGTTCTTGATGACGTAAGTGGAGGAGGGGCTCTTGTGCTTGCACTGATGGTCGCAGCTGCAGGAAGAGTCGGCCAGAGAGCGTCTGCCGCAGCAAAAGAAGCACCGCAGCAGGTCCTGGAAGAGGTGACCAGCAAAGAACATGTAGATCCAAGGGTTACAGCAGCTGTTCAGGCTGGCCAGCAGCATGGAGATGATGAAGGGGATGTCTGAGGAGAGAGGAGACGAAGGTCAGGGAGTTTGTAAAAAGGAATAAACCTAAAAAAATTATCTCAAGTGTCCAATCCCACAAACTGAAATACTTATTTTGACCTTTGAACCTTAAACTATCTCTGAACTGACTGTATAACACAGATTTTATATATACATAGTTTATCTTTAATGTTTTATAGCTGCTGTTTCTGAAGCTTGTTCTGCAGGTCCACTGGGATTTGTTTGTTTCTAAGTACTGCTAAGAAGCATCCCTACAGAGAAGTGGTTCCCAAACTCGGGTTCAGGACCCTGCTGAACCATCCCCATAAAAATAACATTTTTCTTTTGATGGTGAGTTAATTTTTGGGAAGCCTGCAGTGATGATGCACAAGAATAACACCCAGAGATCTGTTCACCATTTATGCTCTGATTTGTGAGATAGCTGCAAGATTTTGGTCTGACCGAAGCACACTCAATTTTTATGTAGGTACATCCAAACAAATAAACTGGTATTTCATGCTTTACTTGAATGGCAAATAAGCTAACCCCAGTAAAATCTGGTGTCAATGCAAAAAGTGTCTCTCAGTGATGCTGTTTATTAAATCATCCAGATTTAAAATGCTTACATTTCTTCAAACTCATCATCCTGGTATCACTTGAAATATTTTTTAAATTCTTTCAGATTAAATTATTTTCTTTTGAAATAAATCTTGTTCAAATTTAATTGTACCAGTCACAAGTTTCTGCCTCTGTTGTTTTGTGGGTCAGAAGCTAAATAATTTGGGATTTAATGAAGTTGAATTAAGTTTATTCATTTATCTTAAAAGTTTCTGTCTACTGGATGCATCAGTATGGAATTAAACATGTTAAGAGACGTGAAGTTTGCTTTATCTTTTCATTCAAAAGGTCTCTAATTATAAAACAAATATGTAGAAGAGACAGTGATTTGCAAAATACTCTCTTTAAAATAACAAGTTATTTTTCATACCAGTAAATGTATTTTGGACTTAAATACAGTGTTATGTTTCAGAGCTAGTTGTTAATCTGCTGGTTGGCCCAAAGCTTTGTTTTCACAGAAATTATTCCCTGATGAACATAAAGCCTGATGCTACATGTTGGAAGACAACCAAATGACTTGGCATCAAAAACAACTTCATAACCATTAAATAATCAGTAAAGCTTCAATAACAGGCTATTTCATTTATGATCACAGAACAATCAAGGTTATTTTCTGCTGTCAAACTAATGTCTGCAGCTAAATGTGTGTGAAAGATGTTTTATGTTGGCTCGCTAGGGTGTTAATCTGTAAGCATAACACAGTTAGAGAGGTGTTCAGTGATGTTATACGTTAGACAAACTCTAGAATTTAAAGTGAGGGCCACCAGTGTCAAGTTAAACCTGAAATATTTTTAGCTTCTTAAATTTATATCAGCACTTGTTTGGATTTAAAGTCAATGTCATTTAGAAATTTAAGAGCTGATACAGCTAGCCTTTTTTAGACTAGTCCTCAAACATTTTATAATAAATGAAAACTGCAGAGGTTAATGATGGTAAACACAGATTAATTCTCAAAAATGACAAATAGGTTCTTAAAAGAGGCTGTCTCGGGTGGAAAAAATACACCTTATTTCCTCCTCCCCTTCACAGCTGCCGAGTAGTTTAGACAGTTGAAAGTGACCCCCCCCTCTCTAAATCCTTAAAGGAGGGAGGGAGATTTAATGCTTATTCGCTTCTTCTCCCCTCAAGTGCCGAGCTTCTCCTTTTCCTGCCCGACTCTGACTCCCTTCAGGACTTTGCTTTGTCCTTGGAGCTCTGCTGCGTGCAGCTTCAACCAAACGGCCCCAAACTCTAAGAGATGTTTGTTTAAGAGAAAAGTCAAACAGCCCGTCCAGACCTGGATATCGCAGACGTGCAACACAGGTTCCATCGAAACTCCATGAATGGAACACATGAAAACATTTTAYTGTTTTGCTTTAAATTCTTTTGTGACGTTCCCCTCTTTCAATGTGTTAACCGGAAAAATGGAAGAAAGAGCAGATATAAACTGCTAGATTAAAAGAGATGTTTTTTTTCTTAAAACTTTGGCAATAACAGGTCTCTAAAGGCCCTGTCACACTTCAATGTTTTAGACAACTTATGCCAACTTGAAATTTTTAAAGAAATCTTTGAAGACGAATTTAAAATAATCAAATGGAAGCCTCATTTAGGTGTGTACATACTGTAATGCTGACAAATTGATAGATCATAATTTTTTTTGTAATTTAGATGAAAAACTAATTTTATAAGCTGGCATAAGTTGTCTAAAACATTATAGAGYGTCAGGACCTTTAGCAAAATATGTCATAAACCACTGGACAGATTTTAATAAAACTCTTAAAATTGCCATTGGATGTTGTTGCAACTGATTACAATTAGGAGTTGACCTGATTCAAGCTGGCCACCACAGCTAATAAACGTTAGCTAACACAAACATGGCTATACTAACTCAGTTAGTTTTACAGAACTTCAACTACAATGTGGTGTGGTAGTAGCTGGGAACATCCTCAACACATGCTCAGAGTGCTACACATTTTGCAATATTTTTGCTTAAAACTTTGGCAACTAAATTCAATATTATCTGTTAGCACTGGACWGCTAAYTTTGGGGTGACTGTAGCTGAGCGCTATCTTCCACACACCGAGTGCTATCACAGCTCACAAGATATCCAAATGTTGTATAAAACACATTATAACATTATTTACAAGGTTTGATCAAAGGGCTGTAACTCTGTCTCTTCTCACCACAAGGTGATCTGAACTCTAACCCTGACCTTTCATGTTGACTGCGTTCAGATCCTCAGAGAAGTTTATGGGTTTCAGAATTTGATGCCTACAGCATCTTACAATTCAAGAGTGTTAACCAAGCAGTGTTACTTAAAATAAATTGCATTAAATCCAAAATTAAGAACGGACATTCAGCTCAGTTATAAATACTTTTATACTTGGATTTAAATAGAGGCCTACTTTTGCAAAGAAGACATCATCATAAATAAGCTCAAGATCTTCAGCAGTGCTGTACTTTTTCAAACCATACTTTCAACTCTTTTGTTTAAATATTATTATTTCTATATGCATGCAGTCTATTAGGCAGATTTTGTTTCATTGCCAGATGTGAAAAATACATCAAAACTAAAATAATGTTAAACACTGGTCAAAAATGTTGGAATCTCACAGAATCTACGCATACATTGTGAAAATGTTGGATTTAGAGCTTGATTATTAAACTTACTAAAACTTCAAATGGTTCACCTGATATAGATAACTTCTACTTTTTATTTTATTTTTTTTTTTAATTTAGGAGCAGTTTTTATATACATTTTCCTTTCTGGAACCATACTGAGGGTAAAGTGGAGTTCACGGTGTTCCACAAAGACACTCTGTCTCCTGGAGACGTTCTGAACAACCCACTGGTCCTAACTACAGTTTTCTTCTCATACAGTGAAGAAAACAACCAATAAATGGAGACAAAAGAATTAAGATGACCTTGATAGAATTTGAACCCTAACCATCCCACAAAAGAAAAGAAACATGTTTAAAAGAAACGCAACAGTTTCACTTTGATGTTCATTCCACCTAAACTCACCAATGACTGGTTATTGTTTCAGTTCAGCCAATTGTTTAAACAGTTTTCCTCTTGAGAAATATATTATAATACCAAAACTTTAAATGCAAATGTTAATTATCAAGACTTAAGAATGTTCTATATATAAAAAATAAAAACAGTGGAATGGCTTTAAGGAATTGAGGCTAGAAAAGGGTCAATTAGAAAACCCTTCAAAGGTTTTTGCAGACTATAAAACCACCACAAAGAGGTTTAGGTTGACCTGGAGGGATACAGTGGTGCTTTCAACCAATTTCATGTGCTGCAAACTTTAAAAAGTGGGACACCCTGTGTGTAACATTATTATTATTATTATTATTATTATTATTATTATTATTATTATTATTGCCACAACTATTGTTTTCATTGCCCTTGCTGGAGTTTTAGATAGAGATCAATTTACGTTGAGAAATGACAGCATTGCAGTCGTTTTGCTCAAATTTTGAAAACGTTTTGCACAATCTTTGTGAAAAAGTATCAGCAGAAGGGATTTTTCATATTATAAATTCTGAGTACAAAAATCTGTGAGAAACGTAAGCACATAAAAAGTACTCATCATTATCCAAGAAATACTTTTTCTCTCTTAATGACATTCATATAGTTTTCCCTGTGTAAAACTGTTTTATTTAGCCAAAACAATTCACTTTAATAGACTCGCTTTATCTGCTTTCTTTCTGAGGATTCTGCCATAAAATCTAAGGGAGACTAATTAGAAGCAGCATGAAAAACAAACAACAAGTTCATCATGTTGATGTCTTGAAATAATCTGTTCTGAAATTAGATTTTTGCATAGATAACTCTGATTTGATATGTTGTTTGCTGGTATGGTTTTGTTTTAACATTTCTGGCAGAAAAAAATGTGAGTTTTCAGAGTTATGCTAGCTGTTAATAATATCCTTCTCCTTCTTTGTCCTTTTCATCTCTTTTGGGACATGAGGTTGTTATCAGCTGCCACATGTTTCTGTCACTGGCCACATGTTATGCTTCACACCAGGTAACTTTCATCTCCTGCAGCTCTGATGTCACTGCCCTTCATGTTAATCTTTGTTTCCTTTTACCAGGTGGTGTCCATCATAATAGGGATACACTGACTGTTCACCCTCAATCCATGGTCCAGCCATTTAAGATGCCAGTCTTATCTCCACTCTCAAACTGTTGTGCTTGGTCTTCTGGTATATAGATTGCCAGTTTTCATTCATAAATATGCCACCTTACCAGACAGTAGGGGTGTAACGATACATCCATCTCGATATATCGATTTGAATGGTTCATGATTCAGTTATATTGAGGTAAAATGAAAATATCGATCTATATCGTCATCATATGCTCGATGTGAATCGAAATCGTATGGCCATCTAACAGTCATTGTGTTAGATGACCATATGAAATCGCATTATATCGATCACAGACGTGAACTGGATCGAAATCATATTGTGACAAACTTTGTAATATCGAGAAATATCGAATCGTCATCCAAACATATCAATGTAATTTTGTATTGTGATAAAACTGGTGATGTACAACCCTACCAGACAGCTGTTGTGAAAAACATCCAGGTTGTTTCATTTTGGTTTGTGTTCCAACACGCTGAACCATACAGCACAACAGATTTAACGTGGCTGCTGGACACCTTCAGTTTGGTTTTAGAGGTGGGACTGCTTTGACTTTGAAGAATAACAGACTTTGTTGATGTTCATAAAGACATTTGTGGCTTTTGAAAACTCAAACATGCTGCTAAACGGTTCTGAGAATCACTAAAATACCGTAAATTGTTTGGTATTTGGACGGATGATGGTTTTCTAGTAAAGTGCATTATGACCAATATTACATGTTGTGGTTTTTAACATTTGATCTGGTTTCTTGGCTTTTGAGCTTTAGGAGACAACAGTGTTGTAGTTGTGTCTATACGGAGTTATAAACTCACTTCCCATTTGTGTAATTTTTTTTTATATTTTCAAAGACCTGAGTCATCGTCCTTCAGTTACATCCTCTTTCCCAGGATTTCCTCTGAACTTGTCACGATGTGTATTTTTCAGACTGTTTTGAAATTTATATTTATTTTCTGGAAATTATGTACTTTCTTTGTGTTTGATTACTTTCTTGTACCTCCCTGTGTTTTCCAGTCAACCTTAGTACTCTTCCATGGTCACCCTTCACTCCCCAGTTCTGCCCCACCCATTTCCACCAGTCTGCTTTTTGTCATTAAGCCACATGCCTCCAATCTCAGTGACCCTGATACATTTGTCTTCACCTCAACTTGAGCTTCATGCCTTGTTTTCCCCCCTCTGTATCACTTATCACTCTTGAGTTTAATTTAGTGTTTTTGCTGCCTTGCCAGCTTTTTGTTATTATTATGTTTTTTTTCTTCTCATTCAAGCTCCTCGAGTTGGTCTGCATTCCTGTGTCCAATGTCTAAAAACTGCAACAGAACTTCAGGGATTTCTTAATCTTAATACTGCACTTTAAGTCATGAAATATTTGCTGCTTGTCTCTACTTTATCCAGAAATGAGCCTCTGAACAAATGGATATTCTATAAATTACCACTTGGACCAGAGAGATAACTCTTTGATGTTCTGGTACATTTACATTCCCTGTGACTCTGAGGAGTTTTTCTCTGGACTGATAACCACTGTAAATGACACTCCCATTCATCCATGCTCACTCTGGGGAAGTCTGGCTTTTTACACCATTTTGCTGCTCTGAAAGGAGAGGGTGAGACTTGCTCGTGCGTTTCAAGAGTTATTTTGTGACTTGGAAGAAAAGCCTTTGTGTGACTGAGACAATTAGTGCTGAAATATTGTCAGGAGTTGATGAGCAACACATTTTCATCATCATAAATCTGCTCTTAGAACAAGCCGGTCTTCGGTGAATGAAGTCACCAACCATTAATCAGGAACATTTACTCTTTTTCACAAAATCTTTGCAACAAAAGTGACTTTACCTTCCCTTGGTGCAGCAGGATCCCACGCAGACCACATTTGGACAAAGAAAAACGGAGTCCAGCACACAATGTAAGCCAGGACCACGACAAAAGTCATTTTGACTGTGCGGATTTTGGCTTTGGAGATGAGCCTGACGCTGCTGACGCGCGCCAGTGGATGCGCGCCCTTGGACGGCCTCGGGGTGAGAGCCAAGAAGTGCTCCCTCCTGGTTTTCATGTTGATGTTCTGCCAAATTTTAAAGCATATCAAGCCGTAGCAGATGCTCAGAATCGCCACGGGAAGGATGTAAATGCTGAGACTCATCCACGTGATGTAGGCTTTGGCGCCCCACGGCTCCACGAAGTCCCCCCAGCAGTCATACACGCCGTCCCCCATCTCCCTAAGCGAGAAGATGTAGACCTGCGGGGTGCTGAAGACCAGGCTGAGGATCCAAGACGCGATCACGCAGAACCGGTCTTTCCCCTTGTGGACTGTGCGCAGCGGCTGGCAGATCGCCAAGCACCTGTCCACTGACATCAGGACCAGCATGTAGGTGGACGCGAACATCCCCACGACTTGGAAGTACTTGACCAGCCTGCAGAGGAAGTCGGGTCCGTAGAAGCGGAACGTGATGTCCCAGATGAGCTGAGGCAGGACCTGAAAGACCGCGACCACCAAGTCCGCGATGCTCAGGTGCTTCATGAAGTAGAACATGCGGGACTGGCCGTGCTTGGTGGTGTGGATGGCCCACAGGACGCACAGGTTGCCCGTCAGAGCGAGAAGGAGCACCAGGACCAGCACGGCCACCTCCACTTTGGCCACTTCCTCGTTCCGCTTCAGGGGGTTCACCGTGTCGTTCCCCGCGTGGCTTTCATTCACCCGACTCGCGTTGCACCACGAACCGTTCTGGGACCAGGCGTCCTGCGCGCGTAAAAGCTCCTCCATCGCGCGTAAAAGCGCCACTGTGGCGCAGCCGGGTTGTCACATCACCAGATCCAGGAGCGCGCTCAGCTGAGGCGGGTTAGCTGCCCTGCGCAATTTAGATGCTTGTTTACTCCAATAAAACTAGTTATTGTTGGTAAACTGTAGTAACACGCAGAAGTTGTGTCTATAAGGTGACAAAAAAGACGCGTAAATTTAAACTCTTATTGCCCTGAAATGTTTTTAAAGCTGAAAAAATGAAGACATGATAAAATGACGATATTGTGTTTTGAAGAAGCTCACCTTAAAAACAGTTTGAACTCTGGGATTTTGTCAGAGCGCAGTTCTCTCCTCAGTCTCTGCGTGCAGCTGGAAGTCTGCTCTGTAAGCTCCGTGCCTCACTGATGTTTCTGTTGCCCCTCCCGCCTCCCCCTCCTTCCCCACATACACCGGAGCAGACAGGAAACTGCGCTGAGCAGGAACAGACCTCACTTCACAGAACCCTCTTTATCTCTGACCCTGTTTAAATCTTCATATTTCATGTACGTCAAAACCATCTCCTCCGTGTTTTTCTGGCTCTAAACCTTCCACAGAAACTGTATTTACAGTGAATTATCTGAGCTGCAGAGGTCACCTAAAAAAACACTCTACACACCACTAATTTCTAAAGAAAACAAGGGTCCAGTATATGGATTTCACCCTAATGAAACCTAAAACTGGTGTTGTTGTTTAGTAGTTATTCCTTTTTTTTTTTTCATTAAATTTAAACTTAGCTGGGTTCAAGCACTGGCTGCCTAAGCTGAACACAAATACAATATGTTTATTTAAAAGAAAAAAGAAAAAATCTTTTGACTTGAGTATGATTGAGAATCACTTTCTTATTGAAATGATTTTGAGATATTTTTTGTTTTCATATGATTTATTTTCATGACATCCTGCAACAATTTGTTTTATTTGGGTAGGCTGTAGATAATTAGCTTCAATTAACCGTCCTGCTGTCTGAGGCCTCAAAACCACTTTGACCCAAGGGCAGCAGGAGGGTTAAATTCACCTGACAGCTAAATGCAAAGAAATATGGTAGGACATTTCAGCCACTGTTTACCTTTCTAGTTTGTCAAATCAATGGTTTTAAAAACCTCACGAAAATCAGGTAAATTCTTAACATCTGTACCTGTGAACTCTAAACAAAGAAAAAAAAGTCAAATTATGTTTATTTTTGCATAATTTTAAATGAATAACTATGGTCAATTTTAACTTGTATCATTTAGCTGTTAAGTTCAATCCAATTTAAAAACAAATCTAATTTTAAATCAGTACAAGTTGATTTGTTTGTTTCAATATCCAAAGTTTAGCCACAACGAACAATACTATAAGTTTCAAGTTTCCTATTTATGTTAAAGTTATATAACACAGATTTGTTGTAAAAAATTCTACTTAAATTGGATTTTTTTCTCTAATTTCATTAATTTTTTGAGCCCAAATAGGGTCTTTTCTGATTGTTTGCGCTGAGCAGCACAAATGTGTGAACAAACAACTGTTTCCTCCAGCTTGTTGTACAACTGAACACTTGCAGGTGCTCCATTGTTCAGTTTTTCACAACCGGACCTCACACGTTCACCATGTGTGCGCTTGTGTGTGTGTGTGTGTGTGTGTGTGTGTGTGTGTGTGTGTGTGTGTCAGATACAATCTGACCACACAGAGTGGCAGGGAAACAAATAGGTCCCCCCACCACCTTTTAACAGGAGTCAGTGTTTGTTGCCCAACATAATGTTTGTGTTTCTCACCTGCTGAGACACAAACAGTTTTACCACAAAATCTGAGCAGTGGAAAAAGAAACTTCAACAGATTACAACAATTCATCTCCAAAGTTGTCATGTTTTTAAATGTAACTACTTATGGTTTTTTAATTTGTTGGAGGTTTTAAAGTTTATTGCTATCAGTGCTCGATTCAAGGGATATGTTTTGTCAATAAATACATTTTTATGATTGCAACAGCGACGTTATATGACAGATTTGATTTTGCATGGACCAAACCAGCATGTGCATTCATAATTAAAATCTGCACATTCAATGCTTTTCTGCAGGTGGAAGAATGTAAATGCCTCAGATTTATCCCTGCAATAAAAGGGCAGCTGTTTCCAGACCTCTCAGGAATTTCCCCTCTTTAAAAAGATAAAGGAATATTAAAAAAAGTCATTGATGATGAAGAAACTATACTGAAGTGGCTAAAAAAATAAAGGAAAATGTCTATTTTAAATGTCTTGGTTATTAAAAGAATAATAGTTGTATTAATTCAAAGATTCACCCACCTAAATTAATATATATTTTTCCCACAAAAAAGCACATCATAAAAACAATGAATAGAAGCAGAATTGATCAAAGATTTGTGTTTTCCAGCACATGGCTCACAGGTGTTGATATTTTTGTTTTTCTGAGTTGTGAATTCCTCAAATTCCTGTAGAAGTGGTGGGAAATGAATATAATATAATATAATATAATAT